TATTTTTTTAATTTTATCCTTCATGGGTTTTTTCTATCAAACTTTATCCCTATTTTTTTTGTTGATATATGCTTTTCTTTCACAAGATTCTTTTATTAATATTGTTTTATAATTTTAACCTTCAAAATTAAATTAGTTTATAATTAAGCTTTTTTATTGAAGTCATGTCCATGATTTTATGGGTTGTAAATTTTAGAGATTTAATCAGGTTTAGAAAATTCACTCGAGTTTGATTTTCTTCCTTCTTTTTTAAAATAATATATTTTTTATTGTTTATCCTTTTATTTTATTATTTTTTTATAATTTATTTTTTATAGGGTTAGTCCTAGGTTCATAATCAAAATCATTGGTTTCAAAGGTTAATATGGGTTGATTGTTTTAAAAATTGATTTATTTTGATTTTATTATTTATATTTTTTATGAAATTATCTTAACCTTATTCATGAAATTTGCTACTTCATTTGGTCTAACATGATTTTTTAAATTTTTTTTATAATTTTATAATTTGATATTGAGTTATTTAATAATTTAGATAAACTTATGTTTCATTATGTTTTTATCTTCTTTCATTATTTTTATAAATTTATTTATTATTGTTATATTATTTAATTTTAATTGAATCAATGACTTGAATATTAAATTTTTTTATCTTAATATTATTTTTTTTATTAAAAAAAATTATTCAGGTGGAACATGACTACAAATCTAGTAATTAATGTAAGAGGTACTTTTAGGGGTTAGATTCAAGTAGTACAGCTTTGTATTTTTTTTAATAAAAAAGTGTTCATAGAAAAAGATTGGGCCAAAAAGTGAGGAAAAATACACGAAAGTGCTGCGTAAAAACAAAATGATTGATAGCGACTAGTGAGTGGCTTGCCGATATTTTGATTGTGTGTTTGCCTATTTAGTTTCTCTACTCTCAATTTTATCTCACTTTGGTCCTCCTTCTATTGTTTATCCTTATATCATTCTTCTTCGTCTTTTATTTTTTAATGTTCAACGACAAATTGGGCATATTTAAATAAGATTGTATGAACTGAAATTAAATTCTCCTCACAAGTGACCTTAAAAGCAAATTTCTACATCTTTGATCAATTCCTACAAAGGTAATTGTTCTTGATCTGTCCTTATAATTTAGTACATTTTCATATAAATGGGTAGAAATTCCACCTAATTTTCTAAAGAAAAATAAATTTTAAAAGAGAATGACATATTGTGTTATAATTCATTGCTTTTTCACGGTATTTTTAATAAATAAAGTTAGGTTTGAGTTTAAATTTCTCAAGTGAAAATATTTTTATCAGTTTATATAAAACCATTTAGCTTAATATAATGATAGATTAAAGAATAATTCAATAAATGAGGATAGATTGGAAGCAATTGACACATAGAAATATATCCAAAACCAGACATAAAATATAGTTTCATCTATCAACTCTTTATTTCTATAATTATTCAGCCCTTTCATTAATTATATTGTGAAGGATATTGCTGATAGGCTACTAAAATTTGATTTAAGAATGAAATTAATACTACATATAAAAAATTATAGTTTTTATTTTTTAAATTTAATTTCAATTATGTGGCAAAGCCAAAAGGTTGACAATGATTATATGTAACAATTGCTGAAAACCTTTATCTCTACTGTAAATGATTTTCTAAGGTTGACGAAGGCTAAAAGGCTGACAATGTTGGGTTTGAAAATCTACAATACCTACAAAAACAAAAAAAAAAAAATTCAATGAATTTGGGAATTCTTTGATATCAAAGTTAGTATAGGGCTTTGTAAAGTTAAAAGTGTACGTGTTTTGATGCTAAAAAAACATTAAGGCTAGACAAGAAAGAAAAAAGATGAAGTCATTACCAATTTTCACGTTCTCTGATGACAATGAGGAAAGGATATCATCATAAAAGAGAGAACAAGCATGGAGGTATGAAGGAAAAACAAAAGATAGTTGAAGGATCAAAGTAAGATAAAACTAAGAATACAAAGACCTTATAAAAAGTCAGATATTCTGAAGTGTCATGATTCCCCCGGAGAATAAAGAAGCACAAACATCAACGTGTGAACCAAATTACAGAAGAGGTGTTGGGATCCTCACGGATCCACTATATTTCCAACTTACTCTAATCTGTATCTTTGATCATAGTACACAGCAATATCTTCTATAAGAAGTTCAACATTGTCTCTCAAGCTTGCCTTGTTTTGTAATTTGCAAACGACAGAGAGACTAAAGAAGGAAGATGGGTAGCAAGATTATCAGTGGAAAGAGATTTGAAGGGAGAGTGGTAATTGTGACTGCTTCAACACAAGGCATTGGCTTTTCCACAGCTGAAAGGTTTGGATTGGAAGGTGCTTCTGTTGTCATCTCTTCTCGCAAGCAGGTGCTCTTTCTGTTGCTTCAACATTTCCTTCCTTTTCTTTTTCTTTATCATATCATTTCTTGTTTTTCAGGGATCAAGGTTGATTTTTTCTTTCTGGGTTTGTTTTGGTTTCTGGTTGTTTTAGGCTTTCTCTGGTTTCTGCTGGTATTGCATTTGAGGAAGTATATAAACTTTGAACTAGACTCCACCTAAAATGGTTTAAAAAATCATGTTCTTTTTAAGAGCAGAAAGGATATGCCAAATCCTGCTCAGTTGAATGACCTTAACTCATCACTTTGAATTGAATTTAGTTCTGTTTCCCAATGCACACATCATGGTCTGTATTTGCTTTGTTGTTTGAAGTTTGATCTCATATGGGATGAGCTGAAAGTGATTCTACTAGTACTGTTAAATGGAGTGTCGCAAGAAATATTTGCCAAGGCCAAAACATGCTGATACTCGTAGAGAGTTTTTATACTGTGATAGAGAATCAAAATAATGATGTATCGATACATAATTTGCTACTTCCAGATGCCATCCTTTCCCATCATTCATTCAAGTATCAAGTGGTTTTTGGTTATTTTTTATCACACGATATTTGAAAATTTAAGCACTAAAGTTAGCTTTTTTATGCTGTTTCTAGCAGTAACTGATATGGGCCTTTTTCTTTGGATTTATTTGGATTTCTTTTGGTCTTTTCTTGAATTGATCCAGAAAAATGTAGATGAGGCGGTTGAGAAACTCAAAGCTAAAGGCATCAAGGTGGTGGGTGTTATCTGTCACGTGTCAAATGCGCAACAGAGGAAGAATCTCATAGAGACTACTGTACAGGTGAGAAAGTCAGCTTCGTTTCTTATAGTATGCAAGTGCGTCTTAATATGATGCTGCATATTGGACTATTGGTTAATTCTCGTGAATATTAGAATATTCCAACAGCAGGGTAGTCTTCTTCTAGGATGACTGTGTTATATGAAAGAGGATACTGCATTTAATCTTTATTCTGTTTGCTTCCAATAAAGAGTGATTTCTCTTAAAATGATCTATTACTACCCGGTTTTCGAGATGTCTAGCCATTTAGCTTGTTTGTTCTCTTTTCTGTGCAGGTGATACGTTTCTGCCTATTTTTTTGGTTTCTTTTTGCGAGCTCCTAAGAGTGTTCGTTTGAAATGAAAGTGCAGGTTTTTTGTTTGACTATATATTCATCTTGATTGATAGAAAGCTTCTGGTTCTGGTTTCAGAAATATGGAAAGATAGATGTTGTTGTATCCAATGCTGCTGTCAGTCCATCTACAGACTCCACTTTGGAAACCCATGAATCTGTCCTTGATAAGCTGTGGGAAATTAATGTTAAAGCAGCTATCCTCCTACTGAAGGTAATTTTTATTACAAAGGTTTTCTTATAGAAATCAATATCCAAAATGTCATGCCGGCCCACACTACTGGGAAAATTTGACTTTGGTTGTAGTGAAGATGGCTAACATTTTGGTTTTGCTCTGTGTTACCTGTGATATTCAGCTCATTGTTTACACCCCTAGAATTTCCTTACTCACAGCATTGCAATACACTCCACTAGTTTTAGTTCATAACTGATTTTGCTACAATTCTATGTGATATCCACTTGCAGGATGCGGCCCCTCACATGAAGAAGGGTTCTTCAGTTATTCTGATTTCCTCTATTGGTGGCTACCATGCACATGATTCCTTGGCTATGTATGGTGTCACAAAGACAGCCCTTTTAGGGCTTACCAAGGTATCCTCCAGTTGTGCTCTCCGTTCATATCGGTTTCATCAAGAACTTGACAAATCCAACTCGCTGAAATATGATGATGAACTTGAAGTTATTACCCTTGTTTGAAATAACAGACCACGGCTCTTTTCCTAGCAGCCCATCTCTTATTATAGATAAGCTGGAGCACGGGCGTGTTTCTTTTCTTGTGCTTGTATGCATGTGTGCTTCTTGTTTCCTTTACCAGGTTTTTCTGCTTGGGTCAATGAACTCGTGAAAAAGAGAATCCAGTTCCTCTCTTTTATTTTATGGACAATAAGTAGGAGGACAAATGCACGTAACAACACCATGCTTTTGTTTCTAAATTTTTTGCGCGTAATACTTTCTAGATACTTTGTAGGTGCTTGCAGCTGAGATGGCTCCACAAACTCGAGTGAACTGTGTAGCTCCTGGGTTTGTACCAACGCACTTCACTGGTTTCATTGCAGGCAATCAGGCTCTTGTAAGTTTACATTTCTTTTGGCTTTGATGTGTTTCAATGATTTCTAAAAAAGAACAGCTGCTGACCTGTCTTGGATTCAATCGGATTCCTAATTACTGTAGAAAAAGTCCATTGAGGATACGACCTTGCTGAACAGACTCGGTACCACAGACGACATGGCCTCTGCAGTCGCCTTTTTGGCTTCCGATGATGCTTCTTACATAACAGGAGAAACTCTGGTGGTAGCTGGAGGGATGCCGTCCAGACTGTAGCTCCCCTCCCTTAAGTTTACCCAAATAAAAAGCATGCTATGATTTTTCATGGTACAAGCTGAGAACCCACGTCAATAAATCCATGAAAGAAATATTCATGCTGATGCTCTTTGTTCATTTCTTCATGGAAAATTGACATTGTTTCATTGAGATTTCCTTGTCGGATAAGATTAGAGTGTGATATGCTTGTCGAACATAACAAAATGTAAAAGGAGGGAAGCCATAACTTATTCCCTTCGTTACATAATTTCCAATTCCATGGCAGATTATGAGGGAGTCATGCATGCTCCCACTTAACGTGTAGCCCGTTTGTCTTCGGCTTCAGGATTTTATTTCCTTTCATAACATTTAATTGCCACTTCATTACATTTATGTATACAAATGGTAGAAGTATGGGAAAAATACGTTAAATATACTTTACATAATCAACCAAAATCAAAATGCTCTAGCGCTATCACTGTTCATGAATGGAGACAAACAGCTGCAAATCAAAATGGATAGCAAGGGAAGATTTTCAGGGAAAAGATTTGAGGGTCTGTGAGTTGAGTTGAGAGAGTTTCTCCTCCATTAGTGTAATTTCCTATTCTCTCTCTAAATAGTAAAAACCAGTGCTAAATCCGCGAAGGGAAATTGAGGGGATTCCATTAAAGGATCTAATTGCTTAAAATAAAAATGACATGGGAATGGATTGACTATAGTTAGATAGATGCTGATTTTTATCTTTCCTTGTTTTTTTAGATCATCAAAATGAAAGTTTTTTATTTTTATATTTTGGCAAAGATAGAAAATGTAGATTTTATGCTATTTCTTCCATATCACTTACTGTATACTTATAACATGTTTCGTTGCTACATGGCGCCTTCATTATTTCATCTCTGCAACTTCTGTGCCATTCACATGCTCCTTGAAACCTGAAAAAGAAGGTACAGAGTGGTTTGGGGGTGCTTGATGATTGCCATGGTGGGCACCCTTCAAATATTTACCTGTGAAATCCAGTTCAAAAGAAAACTTACATCAAGATGAACAGCTAATTAAATATCTACACAAGAACGGCATCAGCACATTGATTATCATCACATGTCAAAACGAGGACTTCAACTTGGGCTGGAAGGAGGCATGGGAACCGCTGACAACCTGTTGAGAAGCTCTTGTGGTGGACCGATCATCAGCAAATTATCATGTCGTCGAACAACACCCATCACGCTAACAGTGCTCCCTAGATATACCTGGCATCGATGCAAGCATTTCTCAGAAGCATGCAACTCAGAAAACTTACTACAACAGCCAAGGAATCAAAGAATCAGTTTGCCTCACCTCTCTTAAGCCATACCCATCTTTGAGACGCATGATCCGGTCATCAATTGAGAGTTTGCGTTCAGCTAAGCAGCGTCAAAAGCTGGGAGACGTATCTTTGTTCTCTTTCTTGTACACCCATTACTGTAGCTGGCTTGACAAATGGAGCAGCCTTAAACAATGCATATGGCAAAAATGGCTTTTATCTAGCTACATGTCATTTAACTTCGGAATGATCTCCAACACCCCAAATTTATTTGAAAACATGTAATTTGAAAATAATTAAAGAATAATGAAAATAAAACTTATAAGAACTGAATTGAATGAAAATAAAGTTTAATATCTTATTGTTTTTCATACAAACCAATAAAAATGTCTTTACTTGAGAAACTTGAACTCCATTAACTTTATTTAAATAAATAGATTTGAAAAGAAAATGTCATTTAGTGGTACTATTCATTGTTTTTTCATAGTTATTTTTTAATAAATTGAGGGAGGTTTTAATTTTCTCACGTGATAATATGAATTAGCTTGATTTATCTTTATATTTTATGTCTTCTCTTCAATCTCTCCCTGCAAGTCTAATTGCTTAATTTTGACTTGTTCATGTATTTTAGTTCATTCTCCTATCTATTTTTCTAATAGACATTTTCATGCAAATGGATATAAACACTCTCATCTAAAAACTCGATCAAACTCCACTTAATTTATTGAAAATATATATAAATTTGAAAACAAAATGACAATTTTTTTTTGTTATAATTCATTGTTTTTGCATGGTTATTTGTTTAATGAATTATGTTAGTTTATAGTTTTTCACGTAAGAGTGTTTTTGTTAGTTTAGATAAAAATATCTAACATAATAACAATATTGAAGAAAAATCCAATACGAAAACGATGAATTGAAACAATTGACATAGCATATTTTGGACATTTTTTTTTTGTAAAACACTGTTTGGACGGCATTTCCAAACTCAAAAAAATATTTTATGCCCATATTTATACTCAGCCTAATGTTGTGTAAGGATTTATTATATGCCTTCTTCAGGGATCATAGACCCCATGCCATCATCATGGAATAAATAATTATATGGAATGAGTCAACACCAATCTGGGGAAAAGGATCTCGTTACAAAAGAGAGGTCAAGCACAGAGGGATGAAAGTAAAACAAAAGGTAGTTGGAGGATCAAAGTAAGAAAAAATTAAGAATACAAGGACCTCTTGAATTAGATATTCTTAAGGGTAATGACTCGTTGACTATGTTCCCGATGAATAAATAACTAAATAAGCATAAACATCATCGGAGTCATCAAATGACAGAACAGGTGTCATCCTCGTCCGTCCACCCATCCTAATCCTTTCGTTTTATAAAGTGCTTGAGGGTAGTCAAAATTTATTTATTTTTAAATTAATTTATTTTTTATGTTTTTTATTTTAATATATTTTTAAATTATCACTAATCTGTTTCATTAATCACAGTAGTAGCAATATTTCCTGAAAAAACCAACTTTGTTTTTGAAACTTGTCTTGTCGTGTAATTTGCAAACGAGAGAGAGAGAGATCAGAGAAGGAAGGATGACTAGTAAGATTATCAGTGGAAAGAGATTTGAAGGAAAAGTGGTAATTGTGACCGCTTCAACTCAAGGAATTGGCTTTTCCATAGCAGAGAGGTTTGGATTGGAAGGTGCTTCTGTTGTTATCTCTTCTCGCAAGCAGGTGCTCTTTCTCTCTCTTTTTTCCCCTCCATATTCATTGCTTTTAGCATTTCCTTTCTTTTCTTTATCATATGATTTCTTGTTTTCAGGGATCAAGATTGATTTTTTTTTCTGGGTTTGTTTTGGTTTCTTGAATCTTGATTGTTTAGGCTTTTTCTGGTTTCTGCTGCTATTGGATTTGAGTAAGTATATAGACTTTGGACTAGATTTCACCTAAAAGGGTTTAGAAAATGTTGATTTTTTACGAGCAGCAAGGATATGCCAAATCCTTTTCGGTTGAATGACCTTAATTTATCACTTTGAATTGGATTTAGTTTTGTTTCCCAGTGCACACATCATGGTCTGTATTTTTTTGTTTGAAGTTTGAACTCATATGGGATGGGCTGAAAGTGATTCTATTAGTAGTGCTAAATGGAGTGCTGCAAGAAAAAATTGCGAGGGCCAAAATATATTGATACTGTTAGAGAATCAATACTGTGATAGTGTTGTTTTTCTGAATTGGCTAAGCACACAAGGGGTCTAGAAAAGAATCGGCCTATAACAGAGAGAGGGAAAGAGAGAAACAAGAACATGTGAGAGAGAGGACTTTCATACTTTCATTGGTTGATTTCCCGTATCTCTCGAGATAAGTTTTGTTACAATTATATAGAAATACGAAATTCCTACAAGAAAACAGTAGGATATCCTGCTAAGTGATCAAATCACAGCACCCTCTTCTCCCCAGTAATGATGTATCGATACATGGTTTGCTACTTCCTGATGCTATGCTTTCCCATCTTTCATTCATGTATCACGTGGCTTTTGGTTCTATTTGATCTCAAGATATTTTGAAAATTGAAGTGCTAAAGTTAGCTTTTTTATGCTGTTTTCTAGCCGTAACTGATATGGGCTTTTTCTTTGGATTACTTTCGGGATGGAATTTCTTTTGGTCTTTTGTTGAATTGATCCAGAAAAATGTAGATGAGGCAGTTGAGAAACTCAAAGCTAAAGGCATCAAAGTGTTGGGTGTTGTCTGTCACGTATCAAATGCACAACAGAGGAAGAATCTCACAGAGACTACTGTACAGGTGAGAAAGTTAGCTTCGTTTTTTATAGTATGCAAGTAACCAGGAAAGGGAATTGGTGTCTAATTAATTTGATGCTGCGTATTGGACTCTTGGTTAATGCTCGTAAATGTTAGACTAGTCCAACAAAAGGCTGTGGTTAGTCTTCTTCATCCACCATGCTCATGTAGGATGACTGTAAGATGAAAGAGGATACTGCATTTAATCTTTATTTGTTTGCTTCCAATAGAGTGATTTCGAGATGTTTAGCCATTTAGCTTGTTTGTTCTCTTTTCTGTGCGCGTGATATGTTTCTGCCTATTTATCTGGTTTCTTTTTGCGAGCTCCTAAGAGTGTTTGTTTGCAATGAAAGAGCAGGTTTTTTGTTTGATTATTTAGTCATCTTGATTGATAGAAATCTTCTGGTTCTGGTTTCAGAAATATGGAAAGATAGACATTGTTGTATCCAATGCTGCTGTCAATCCATCTACAGCTTCCATTTTGGAAACCCAGGAATCTGTCCTCGATAAGCTGTGGGAAATTAATGTTAAAGCAGCTATCCTCCTACTGAAGGTAATTTTTATTAACACAAGGTTTACATATAGAAATCAATACACAAAATGTCATCAAGAATAGATGTGTTTCCTGTGATATTCTGTTCGTTGTTTACACCACTAGAATTTCCTGCTCTTGCTCCCATGGTCAGTCAGGTTTACTCGTTAGTATCCATGTGTTGTCATTTTGGAATACAAGTCCTATTTGATATTCACTTATTTTTTCAGGATGCGACCCCTCACATGAAGAAGGGTTCTTCAGTTATTCTGATTTCCTCTATTGGTGGCTACCATCCACATTCTTCCATGGCTATGTATGGTGTCACAAAGACAGCCCTTTTTGGGCTTACCAAGGTATCATCCAGTTGTGTTCTCCTTCCATTTCTGTTTCATCAAGAACTTGACAAATTCAACTTACTGAAATAAGATGATGAACTTGAAGTCATAACCCTTGTTTGAAATAACAGACCGTGGTTTTTTTTTAAGCCTATCTCTTATTATAGATAAGCTGGATCATGTGCATTTTTCTCTTCTTCTGCTTATATGCATGTATGCTTCTTCCCTTTGCCACTAAACTCATGAAAAAGAGAATCCAATTCTTCTCTTATATTTCTTGGACAATAAATTTGCGTGGACAAACACTTGATTATTTTTTAGTCTTTCTTGATTGCATGCAAAAGCATCAGGCTTTTGTTTCTAATTTTTTTTGCGCAATACTTTCTCGATACTTTGTAGGTGCTTGCTGCTGAGATGGCTCCTCACACTCGAGTGAACTGTATAGCTCCTGGCTTTGTACCAACACACTTTGCTGATTTCATTACAGGCAATCAGACCATTGTAAGTTTATATTTTTGGCTTTGAGTTGTTTCAATAATTTTCAAAAAAAGAGCAGCTGCTGACCCATCTTTGACTCAATTGGATTCCAAATTATTGTAGAGAAAGACGATTGAGGATCAGACCTTGCTTCAAAGGCTTGGCACCACAGATGACATGGCCTCAGCAGTCGCCTTTTTGGCTTCCGATGATGCGTCTTACATAACAGGAGAAACTTTGGTGGTAGCTGGAGGGATGCCGTCCAGACTTTAGTTTCCCTCTCTTAAAGTTTACCCGAATAAAAAAAAAAAACACACGTTATGATTTTTCAGAACCTGCGCCAATAAATTCATGAAAGGAAAATTTACTTTGACACTCCTTGTTTTATTTCTTTTTGGCAAATTGACATTGTTTCATTGAGATTTCCTTGTCAGATAAGATTGACTTGTGATATGCTTGTTAAATATAAAAGTGGAACAGAATGTACAAGGAGGAAGCCACAATGTATTCCCTTCATCAGATAATTTCCATGGCAGAATGTTATGGAGTCGTGTATGCTCCCACCTGACTTGCGGCTGGAACCTTGTGGCATTCTGCTTCAAGTTTTGATGGGAGAATGCCTTTCGGTAAAGATTATATGCCGGTGGTTATGTGCGAAAGTCATGCTGAAGTCTTGAAAGTGCCCTGAATCCTGATTCATTACATTAGTGTATACTGTATAAAAATGGTAGAAGAATGGGTTATTAAAACCATTTGACAGGTTAACTGGTGATTCCTTGACGGACTGGGATTCAAGAAAACTAGGTAATAGTCGACCTGGCAGAGCAATCCTTCATCAACTTGAAGGTGTAGTTGTTTTTTAAAATATAGTTTATTATTATTAAAATAATATTTTTTTAAAATTATTTTTTATATTAGTATATTAAAATAATTTAAAAATACTAAAAAATAATTTGAAATAAAAAATAAAAAATTAAATTTTTTTAAAAATATTTTTAAAATGTAAACAACTGGGTTTAATTAGTTAAAATTAGTTTCACTCTTGAAAAAAAAAATTGAATAACCTGCCCACCCTCTGAATCAAGTCCTTGTCCTTAATCGAGTCGTGTTATTTATTTAACTAAGTTTAACAACCTGAGTTTAATAACTTTCATTATAGTAAATAAACATGTATTAACAAAAATTAAAAGAGATAATACTTTTATTATTATACACCACCTCATAAAATATTATTCATTATAATAATTTTTTTATTTAACCTTTTGATAATTTATTTATTGATTTATCTTAATTTAATTTTATATAATTATTTTAATTTCATTACTCAAGCTGCAAATTTAATGGGTTGGCATTGTTGACTAGAATATTTTTCATTATTTATTTGGTGTTCTTTCCTTTTAATATTAAACTTAATAAAAATTAAATTTTATAATTTATTTTGATTTGTTTTGAATAAGGTTATCTTGCTCTCATAACTTAAGTTATAGGTTTTACGGGTTTACTCAAGTCATTTTATTATCTTTAAAAAAAAATCAATTTCATCATTCAATAATTAATGGATAATAAATTAAGCTTTATTTTTTATTTTGATTTGTTTTCTATGAGGTTATTTTAATTTCATTACCTGGTTCGCGCACGAGATTAGAAAGTTAACTTAGATTATTTTCTTAAATTTTTTTTATGAAGTTATCCTGATTTCATGACCAGTTTCATGAGTTTGAGTAATTAACTAAGGTTAACGTAGATTTTTTTATTTTTTTTAATTTTATTCTTCAACATTGAATTTATTAAAAATTAAACTTTATAATTTATTTTAATTTATTTTTTATAATATTATCTCGATCTCATAACTTAAAATCATATATTTAATATTTTAATTCAAGTTTTTTTTTTTATTTTTTTTTTTTCAATTTCATCTTTCGAAATCAAACTTTAAATTTTTCATATTATAATAATCTCAAACTTTAAACCTTTTATATTATAATAATCTCATAAGTCAAATCAAGTATTTAATAAAATAATTTAAATTAATTCAATATATTACCATCTTAATATTTTTTTTTAAATATAATATTAAATATTTTTAATCAGTTTATATTTTATTAACTAGTCATGTCTAGCCAAGCCTTATTTATTTATTTTTTTCTATTAGAAAAGCATAGATTTGCATTGGACGTGCCACTAATATAGTAAAAACCATAGAACGAAAAATAGTAGATTAAATACTAGGGTAATTATCCCTTGAATTTACTAAAACATATGCCTCCTCCAGAGCACAGCAGAATATTAACGTACGTCGACGCCATGTTCCCAATCCAAGGCCCTAGGGGCCCCCTTCAGACCAAAGAGAAGACAAGCAATCCAAATACAACACACCTAAACCTCTATAACTTCTAAATGGAACCTAAATACAATTACAGCACATTTGCTAGATTTTAGTTCAGAAGAACGCAACAATTTCCGTACCCCTTAGGGGGATTTATGTACAGAAATCAGCCAAAATCATAATTCTTTAGTACTACCACTAGAATATGTTTCGTTGCTACATGGCGCCTTCATTCTTCCATCCTTGCAATTTCTGTGCCATTTACATGCTCCTTAAAACCTGAAAAGAAAGTACCAAGTGGTTTTGGGGTGCTTGATGATTGCCTTGGTCGGCATCCTTCAAATATTTACTTGTGAAATCCAGTTCAAAAGAAAACTTAGATTATGATGAACAGCTAAAAATCTACACAGGAACCACATCAGCATTTTGATTATCATCACATGTCAAAACAAGGCCTTCAACATAGGATGGAAGGAGGCATCGGAACCACTGACAACCTGTTGAGACAGGCTCTTGTGGCGGAACGATCATCAGCACATTATCATGTCGTCGAACAACACCCATTACGCTAATAGTGCTCCCTTCTTTAATATACCTGAGATGCAAACATTTCTTAGAAGCATTCAACCAGCGTAAAAAACTAACTGCCATGGAATCAAGGAATCAGTTTGCTGAACACTTTTCTTAAGCCATACCCTTCTTTGAGACGCATGATCCGGTCATCACTTGAGAGGTTGCGATCAGCTAACCAGCGTAAAAAGCTGGGAGACATATCTTTGTTCTCCTTTTTTACATCCACCACTGTAGCTGGCTTGACAAATGGGGCAACCTTAGCTCCATAGCCCGCCTTTACTAGTGCTCTTAGCCCAGATTGGAAATCTGATACGTAAAAATCAGCGACAAACTTCTGTTCACCAGAAGCAAAGCATCACCACAATGCTGGAGGCTTTTTTTGAAAAGAAAAACAGAACTTTGGAAAACAAGAACTGAAATGTTGCAATTTGCAGAGGTAGCTATGTACATGGCAGACTCGCAATTACACCACAGTTACAATATCAGATGCCAAAGACTGTCTTCTCAGTTTTCAGTAATCATAGGGAGTCAGATTATGTTTTGTCATTAATGACACACAAACTAGAACTATCTGCATTTTCTGGTTCATTAAATAGCTATGTACTGAATCATATAAAGAACTCCCGTCGCCTATCGGCTTATCATCATGAATGCGTTAACAACTTAAAGCATTCAGTAAACATGAAGTACTGGTCAACTTATTGGTTTCTGATATCATATAAACTTGCCCCGCCCCAAAACCTGATATGTTTTCCCCTAGTCAGTAACTTACATTTTCTTGGTCAGCTCCACATCTCGGTATAAAAAACATAATTTAGGTGTCAGGTGCCTTGTTAATTGCTCAAACATTTGTTTGCATTTGAGTAAATTGAACTCATCATGCTTTCATTAATGAAAACCTAAGTGCCATGAGCAGAAGCTGAATCATCATTTCCTAAACCGTTTTCCACATCAATATTTGGACAGATCAACATGAGAGCTCAGCAAACTAACCTCTGAATGTCTCAAACCCCATGAGACAAAACAGTGCTTTGCATGGGCAGACTTTCCACCCAACCCTCTATATTCATACAACTCTGATGAAACATATACACATCTGGATACCCTCTGGTAAGATGACTCCAAAGGTATACTGCCACAGGTGACAACCTACATAAAAAGATAAATCAGACATTATTTGTGACATTATACTGCAAGATATAATACAAATTTGTTGCAATTGCAAAATAACCTAGCTTAAACAAGCTCCAAAAACTTCATTAATGATGAGTTCCATATGAGAACGAGCATTCAAAGTTTCCATAACCACAATGGTGGAGATCCATATCTTATGAGCCCATGTTGCCTCTAGCCCTTCATTCTGTTTGACTTCCATAACACCCCTTTTCATCTTGTAATTTTCCCCCCTTAAATTTTACTTTCAAGCTCCACGGCTGCATCACTGCAATGCGGAATGTAGACTTTTCAGGACATGATACTCTACAAAAAAAGGGCAGCGACAGACTCAGGCTGACTGGTTTTCATAGCAACAAATGATTTCAGCACTGCCTTCAACCTATTAAATCAATGACGCTGTTCACCATACAAATGTCTACAGTGTGAGTGAAATGACATGGACTTATTTCCACTTTCCATGTTGAAACAAAGTCACCAAGAATACCTTTAGTGCTCAAGACAATGATAGGAATGATGGACAAGGCATCCATTTGGTCATCTTCACATGGCTTAGTTCTTACAACAAACAAAGGAAGTTATTCAATCAAGCCTCTCTTATATCCGTATAGAAAGAGCCGGACCACCCATGCCTATTATTAAGAAAACACCCTTCTAACTTCAACTCAGTAGATCTATGACATATTTAAAAAATCAGTTGTCAACCATCTTGATCCCCTACTCCAAAAAAGTTACAGTATGTCATAAAAAAAGCAAGCATTGATGTCATTACTCTGTAGAAAATTTCTTCCAGGTAACAAAACTTTTTTCCATGAGACTTGCCACAGGAATTGTTTCCACACCACAGAACTCGTTGGCATTCTTCCTCATAATATTTTTGCATATAAACGATTTGAACATATACTCCAAAGACAATTTAGGGGAAGAATCAAATGCTCTTCTAGAGAAAGAAGAAGAACCTCTTCCAGCAGATTTCAAAGTCATCTCACATTTTCCTATCCTTTAACCCTGACAGAAGCAAATTATGATTCCCTCCAAATTCCAACTTTGCACATGCAACAATAAAAATCAACCATGACAGATGCACTTCCTTAACTTTTGTTGTCAAGTGAATTCTAAACCGACAAATTTGCCTCCACCAAAAATGTAAATTCCTAAAGTGGCATAAAAAACCATTACACTTCGGAATAATTCATCAAGCAAATTGATGACAGCTTTCAGAATTATATACTTTAACCCCTAAGAAGTAGATTATGGTCCACTCACCGCCTCAACATACAAGAAAGTAAAAGCTTATAGCAGCTTTGCTGGCTCAACTCCACCCCATCAAGTAGATCAAATTTCCTCTTTTTGGAAAACGCCCACAAAAAATAACTTTCAGAAAAGAATCCTGGATAAAGCATCCGGGCAAACAACGATCCTATACCACCCAAATAATAAGCAAGTTTGCGTCTACATCCAAAAACATATGTCCTTTGGTGGACTAAATATACAGGCCCCCTTTAAATTTCTCCAACCTGAAAAAGTCCCCCCTTTCTATAAAATCACCATGTTAGATGAAATGTAATACATTAGCCACTGGAACCACTTTGACAACACCAAAATAACCCTTGATGGATGAAGATTCGTGTCCATGGGTCAAAATGGCTTTTCATCCAAAATCCCATAAATCTCTACTCTAGAAAGTTTTCAATTTTCTTCCCCTTGCTGCCTTTCTTCATCAAGCAACCATTGAAAGTGAAATTCAATAATGACAAATTCCATACCCATGATAACTCTTTCAGGTTAAGAGCAAGCCACGAAAATAGACCTGCATAATGTCAGAATTGACCAGAAGATAATAAAACAATAACGGCAGGCACACTGGTTTAACATTCTTTGGAATTAGATTAATGGATGGTTGGATACTCTTACGGTCTTACCATAATTAGCACTAATCTAATAACAAATAAGACAGAGAAACACATAATAAATAATAGTAGTGAAGAGAAAGAAATTGAAATTACCCCAGTAACTTTGACATACTGTCCATCAATAGCACCTCTAAGCTCAGTATCAGGGTACCTCCTCACAAACCCTAACAACCCTCTCCTTCCCCATGCACAATTCCAAATCAACCCCACAAATAAAGGCACCAAAACAGCCCCAACAGCCACCAAGATCACAGCTTTTTTAACTGCAACCATCAAAAAAGCACCAACAAGCAACCCCATCAAAACCACCACCATCACCACCCACACCACTGGCCTAGATACCCTTAGCCCCACCTTCACATCATCAGCCAAGCTCGTCACCGCTGACCCGTAAAGTGCCTTGCTTGATCCGGGTCCCGTTCCAGAACCGACAGCACTGTTGTCAAGCTGACCAGATCTCTTTTGTGAACCTGAGCCCAGTGGGCCGGAACCAAGTGGTCCGGAACCAAGTGGGCCAGAAGTGAAAAGCCCTGTCGGCAGGACGACGTTCAGGGGACCTGAAGAATTTCTCATGGGACCTGAAGAAGAGTTCCTCATGGATCCGCTTGAAGAAGTAGAAGCACGTGAAGGTGGTTGCTTTGGAGGGTCTGCCGCCGCCGGGATGTCAAACATTTTCCCCAACTCACCAGATTTCTTAATGTCACCGCCTGTATAAGGAACGGCTCGTGATGCCATGGTGGGTTGTTTCTCTTTTTGTTGCTGTCCAGGTCGACCCGACACTACCAACCCGCTTTTGAGCTGGTGAGACTGAATCCGGGTACCCATTTGCTCAAAGCTTGAAACTTTACAGCGTTTTTGGAAGACACGGTGCTGTGATCAGTTGCTTGGTGGTGGTGGTGATGGTGGAGAGGGAGTGAGAAAGGGGGTACAAGGGGGAAATGACAAGAAAGGGCTTGGAGAAATGTGATAATGATGTGTCTTGAAAATGGAACTGAGACTTGTGTGTCGTTGAGGTTTTAGCAATATAAGCATGGCATGGCATGGTATCATGCCATTCTTTTTCTTTTTTTTCCGAAAATGGAACCAAGGGTTATTATTTTCTCTTTGAGGCTTATCTCCAGTAGTGTCTGTGATTATGGTATTATTAGCTTTTTATTATTATCATTATTTTAATTTAAAATAATATTTTTTTATTTTTTAACATTAATACAATTAAAAAATATATAAATATATAATTTTAATTAAAAAATAAATTTTAACCAATTTTTTTTCAGGATTAAAGATATTTGTTATAGTACAATGTGTTTTTTAAAGTATTTGTATTTAAAAATGTATTAAAATAAATTTTTTATATTTTTTTATTATTATCCTCATCATGTCAAAAACATCAAAGAAACATTAAAGAAATTGATTTAATAATTTTTTAAATTAAAATCAATTCAAAATAAAAATAAAAATTATATTAAACACTTTTTTATAGTGATACAGTGTGGTCAGAGGTATTTTTAGATTAACTATAATTTCAAAAATTATTTTATTTTTATTATTTAAACCTATCTTTCATCTTAAATTATAGTAAAAATTTAAATTTAAGAAAAATTATAATTTTTATTTTTTAAAATACTTTTTTTAAACTATAAAAATTACTACAATATTAAACTTATTTTTCTTCATAGAAAGAGAAGGGGAAGTTTATTCGTGATACTTGTTTTGATAACTGATTTTAAAAAAGAAAAAAAAAAGACTGGATTATTAAATTTCCGAGTTAACTCATTGATTATCGAATGAATTTAGAATAATTATTAAAACGTTGTCGTTTCATTATTTAAAAAATAAAAATCATTGATGTTAATTCGGCCGAGTCGGAGAGAGTGGAGGTAGGGGAGCACTACTCCTTATCATCTGTCAGTATCTAGCTGCTTGCAAATGGTTGTACGGTGTAGATCTGCCTGCCAGAATGCAATTTGATTAGACATATTGAACGGTCAAGATAAATCCAATCATAATTAGACTAACCAAAATAAATTAAATTTGGACGGTAGAGAGTGTCCATTATAACCTTCCTATATATGGAGTTATCGCAGTACACTAGTAGATCTAGCGTCATAGTATAAGTACATAGTTTGATATATTATTTGTCAAAAAAACACTAGTTACTTAATTGTTGGATTAGTTTACGAATAATTGAGTAGGGATGAGTAAAAAAAATAATTTATCAAAAAAATTAAGAAAAACTAGAAAAATTAATCTATAAAATTAAAATAATTTTTTATTCAATTCAATTCATTTCAATTTTAATATTAAAAAGTTGAAACCAACTAAATCAAGATCAAATTTGATTTTGAATCTTTAAACATTGAGGATGCCAATACAATGTTTCATGCATATAATAAAAAAATAAAATAAAAAAATAAAGAAATTAAAAAAACTAAGAAAATACTGTAATTCTATTGTAAAAAAAAAACATTTTAAAAAGCTTAGCCCATAAAATCTTAAAAAACAATTAAATTGATATAGGTCTAACTAGGTTTTTTTAAAAAAACACCACAAATCAAACCAAATCATTCCGTTTGAAACTAGTTAGTTGGTTCTATTTATGGTTTAAAAATTACAAATTTTGATTTAGTTAATTTTTTTAAATCAAAAATTAAATTAAATAAAAAATATTCATCATTATTATTAAGTTGATCTGAAACAATGTTATTTAGTTTTATTTAAAAAAATGAATTTTACTTGATGAATCAATCAATTAAATAAAAGATTTAATCAAGTTAATATAAAAAATTAATTCAAATTAAAAGTTTACTATGATTAGTATTTTAATTGCAAGTTTTGCCAATCAATCCATTTGACTGGACCTAACATACATGTTCATAATCCACATCAATTCACATTTTATATATATATATATATATATAAAATCATAAATCCGTTGGCAAACAATAAGATACATGGAGATGAAAGGCAGTTAAAAACAACAAGATGGCCACGCTCCCACGAGCAAGATGAAGGGGATACACTGGCAGTAGAAGTTATTGCGGGCATGGTTTTTAAGCTGTGGAGGGAATTTCCAAATACTTTGAGGGCATTTTTGGAAAGTTTCTATCCAAGTTAGTCGGTGGTGATAGAGATGGCAGCCCCAGTGGTCTCCAAAGTTTGTGTCATCGGTCGAATATATCCTTGTTCCGGAAACAGTTAAAAGATTCATTTTGCTGACAGAATCCTAGGTTCACGATAACAGCTTTTCACTTCAAGTTATGTAGATTTAGGAAGTTAAAATAATGTTATTTTAATTAAAAATATTAATATAATGTTGCTTTAAATTTTTTTATTAATTGGTTAAATTATAAATTAATATATTAAATCAATTTAATTAATTTTAAATTATTTTTTTATATTAAAAACAAGCCAGTATAAATACAATAATACAAAATAATTTAGCCCCGTAAAAGTTTTGTTCAGAGAAAGAATAGCAAAGTTTTTTCAAACGTGTTTAAAAATATAATTATAGTTATTTTTTAAAATATTTTTTATTTAGAAAAGTATTCAAGTAATATTTTTTTATTTTAAAAAAATTATTTTTAAAATTAATATATCAAAATGATTTGATAATATTAAAAATATGTTAATTTAAAATAAAAAAAATTTAAAATTTTTTAAAATGCTTTTGAAATGCAATATCAAATAGCCAATAATAATTACAAGTGCAACTTAAAGGGTGGATTATTAATTTTGTGGTGATTTATTTTATGATATTATAATTTATATTTTTTCATAATTAAAGTATATTTTCAAACCAAAAACATTTTAAAAATTAAAATTAAAATTTGATTAAGTAAATCTTGAAAATTCATCTATCTTCCACTCGAAATTTTTTACATATTCATCGATCATGGAAGGAAAAATCAAAGCAATAACAGAAGAAGAAGAAGAAGAAGCAAGATTTTTGAGTTGATAATTCAGTGTAATAATAATAATAATGTAAACGTGTTTGCTATATAGCAATGATCCTCTAAAGTGGGAAATAATTGGGGTTAGGTTCCATGGACCAGGGAAGAAGTAGTTAGGGTTGGACGCGACCTTGATGTGTACGAACATAACTGGGGCTGCCTGTGGTTGCAACCACATGGACTGTCACCACTAGGAAACAACACCATCTCTTTGATTAATTTGTTCCATTTGGCATCTTTGGAGATGCTTTTTAGTTTTTAGACTTGGCTAAAATCGAGGCTTCGAAGCTCAACATTGATAGGGTGATTCAAGTTTTTTTAAAAAAAAAAAAATAGATATTTTTTGAGTTAGATTTTTTTTATTTTGTATTATTGTGCTCTTATTATTATTTTTTTGTTTAAAGTGAATAAGTTTTTTATATAATTTATGTTATATTTAATATCTTTTTTTTATTTTAATTAAGACAACATATAACATGATTAAAAAATAATATTTTTTATATAAAATAACTTAATGATATAAAATTTAAAAATTATTTATACATCTGTTATATGAGTTTTTTCATAGATATAAATAATCTTTTTATATGAAATTTTCATACGGGTTAGTTTAATGTACATGTTTTATGGTAAGTAGCTATATATTAATTCTAAATATCTCTTAATTATACCTCAACTTTGGAGAATAATTGATTCATTTCATAAATAAAAAAACATAATATATATTAATCTTTGCATTTCTAATAAAAATATTCAATATTTAAAAGAACATCGATTAAAAATATTTTAAAAATAATATTTTGATGTAATAGGAATCTTATAATTATAAAAACTTTATAATTTTTTTTGTAAAAGTTTTTTTTCCCATGGATTTTGTCTTTACTCTATACTTATAAATTAAATATTAGATTCATTAATCTAATATTATATGAATATTAAAAATAAATTAAGTATTTATTAATAATAAATATATATTTGTATGAATATAATAATATCATATATAATCAATTGATTGGCTATAAAATATATTAAATTATTATTAAAACCCAACAATTCTTAACAGTTAAGTATATTGTTGAATAATCTTGACTGAAAGATTTCACAAAATAAAACATGTTTATACAAGAAGAGATGAAGAAGTTTCCTATTAAGAGAGGGATGTCAAAAATCAAGGATGTTATTTTCTTTTGCCTGAATTGCTGTTATTGAAAATCCTAACAATGAGACTCACGATGGAGAGGCACATATAAATATGTTGTATTAGAGAACTGCAATGTTGTGCTTAGAGATTCATCGTATGAAGGTTCTCACAAAGGTTTAGGAATTTATGATGGGATAACTCAAACATATAAAAATATTTGTGGTGGAAAATAATTTATAAATTAGATCTAAACTTAAAAACAAGTCATTTCCAACTTAAGAAAATTAATGCATAAGTTTTTTTAGAAAAAATTAATATTTTTCTTAGTTATTTTTTTTATTTTATACTTCTTATTTTGAATTGGTATTTCAAACTATGTTATCATTTCCTTCCATTTGCGTCAATTAGTATCATGACCTAACAATCCTTGGTGATTAATCATAGTATTTTATTGAATAACCATAACTAAAAAAATTATATAATAAGACATGTTTATGTAGGAGGGAATGGAGAGATTACCTATCAAGAAAGAGGTGTATATGGACTAGTATGTTGTTTATGTTTATGTTATTTGTTGTTATTAAAAATCCTGGTACTGGAATCCTTACGGGGGACTCATCATAAAAATACTTACATAAAAGTATTAGAGTCCATAATTATGATGGGATGACCCACACATAAAAAAATATATTCATGGTGGAGAATTGTTTCTGATTGAGGCATAAATTTAAGGATGAATTTCTTCTAACATAGAAAAATTGATATAAAAGTTTTTTTAAAATATAAATATTTTTTAGTTATTTTTTTTTGTATTACCATGTTTTTCTAGTTTGAAGGGAATAGCTTTTTCTATTTTATTTTTTATATTAATAATCGCTATAGTGTTTCAGTTTTTTCTACATAAACCGTTATTAAAACATTTTGTTGAGTGCAAACATTA